GTTTCTCAGAAGTGGCATCTCTTACCCAATAACTTCCTGTCCAAAGTGGTGTGGATGTTTATTTCTTTTAAACAGACACTGTAATCTATAGTAATAAGAGCCAATACAATGCATGTAATTTTAAAAAATGTAACTTCATCAGCATTAAGTAAAAATGCAGCTGGTGAGAATTATATCTGACACATCCCCATGAGCCTGCTGTCGAAACATATACCTGTCCTCTTACCAACAGAGCAATAAAACAGAGGTTGGTTGAGCCTGGTGGAATACTAGTCTCCAGCTGATAGATGAAAGTTTTGCTCATATTTTGGAGAATTCCCATCATGTTCCCACCTAAGTCAGGAAGTATTTGGTTAATTCAGCTAGGATGCTTTTATAGTACAAGAAGTGTTTTTGGTTTTCCGCTTATAGTGAAAGCACACTGGAGAGTAGTCTATTGATTTCAGTGTGTCTTATGGGTGTTTGGTTTTTGTTTGGTTTTAATTGCTAAAAAGATTGAGCTTCTGTTCCGGAGTGGAGGAAATGAAACTCATATGATTTCATAGCACACATGGCACTAGTGCAATGTCTGTTTTTTGCCTACCATCTTGATAGTAGTGTTGCTCAAGTAAAACAGCTACTATTGTTTTATGGCAACGATTGAGACTTTTGGATCATGGTATATGCATGAAAGGTCACTTAGATCTTCAATGCATATGCCTAGGCAGGAGGGTTTTTTTTTTTTGAGGAGTGGAGGCTGCCCAGATCTTTCATCTCCCCTTTAGGCCACTCAGAGAGAATCCAAAGGCCAAACTGAGTCTGGACATTTGGTGCTTCCATTACTGTATTTGTATAAGCATGTGGGAATTGAGCCCAGGTCTCCTGTGTGGCAGACAAGGATTCTACCATTGAACCACAGGGGACTCTGGACTATTGTAGGCCTCCCTAAATAAGCATTTAGTTTCATAGTTTCATAGTTAGTAGTGTCGGAAGGGACCTGAGCAGGTCATCAAGTCCGACCCCTTGCCATGGCAGGAAAGAGTACTG